AATTTCATAGTACTTTGATCATTCAGATCAAAACCAGGAGGCTTCTTACTCAGGAGTGAGCTTTCCATAGAAGGGCAGAAACAGTGGCATGTTATAGTAGTGAAAGTTTTGGCCACAGTCATACTGACACTACCATGAACAAACTATAGGTAGTTATATTAAAAGTTGGTTAGAAAGTTAAGAGTGCATGTGTCATAGTGGGGAATTAGGTAGCTTGACTACTGCTGTAATTTGGAGTAGCAGGCAGACTTATTGCTTTAGAAGAGCCGCCTCTCCTCAGAGATCAGTGAACAGACAAGTTAAAGACACTTTACCAAGTATTTCAAGTCACAGACGTGGTCTTGTTTTAGCCATATTCAAGCCAATATGATTTTCTCTATTAAAAAACCGCTTCTGGAACTGTAAAACTCATCTTTTCCATCAGCTCTAGCTGCCACCCAGAATCCCACAGCAAACTCCTCACCCGTCATCCAACCTGATGCTGACAGGAATAGCTCCACATTCCAACTGCTCTGCATGACTTAGAAATGAGATCCTGGCCAGCCTTCCACATGGTTTCTGAGGAAGCAAGAACACACCAGCTGGGATCACTAGAAGATGACAGAAGAGGCTCTGTGCCCCATCAGAAGCCGCAGGTGGAGAGCTGCCCCCCTCTCCCTGGAGAGGCAGCTTGCCCAGCCTGAACATTCCACACCAGCAGAGCACCCTGCTGGGTGTGATGCTCAGCTCTGAAAATGTACCATCTTCTGAAATGAAGATGATGTGTACCAGCATCTGAAAAACTGGCTTTTGGTGGCAAAAACTTCCTTACTGTTTCAAATCATCCACAGATGTACAAAGTTTGACCTACAACACAGACACTTATATTTCAAAGTTTAAAAAATGAAATTTTCCATTTTTCAGCTCTCTTCTCCAGTGACACCAACCAAACCAATCAAAAAGTTCAGATTCAAATTAATTGTTTCCCGACTAAGTTTAATTTTTACTAATAGCATGTGTTCCACCCAAACCATGTGAAAGAAAATATAATCACCCATTTTTTCTACATACAGCCATTCAACCTGTTGTTCTTTCCTTTCTACATCTGCAGTGCCATGACACAACAGGTTAACCTTCATGTTCCCCTGGGACACCCCACACGCTCCAGCACCCACCCTGGGGCTTGCCCAATTCCATGAGCAGCTATTGCAAGAAGCTTTTCTAGCAGAAACCACTTCTCAAAAAACAAACAAACAAACACCAAAGAACACAACCCCCCAAACCCACTAAATCATCATCACCACAGAAAACATTCCCATCAAGTTAGCATGCTGAACACATTCGTTCATACTGGAGGTGGGAGAGGAGGGAAGGCAGGGGACAGAACAGACTTTTGGTTACCTTACTTATATTTACGAAAGGGCACCCACAACTATTCTGGGGGCTCCTGCAAGGAGCAGTGGATCCCTACCTAAGTCATCATAAGCTTTCTCTGGAAGACAAAGAAAGAAAACCAGCATGGGGGAAGTTCACAGCTAACAATTCTTTAATCAGGAATTTAATCAGGCATTGGAATGGGCTGCCCAGGGAAGTGGTGGATTCTCCATCCTTGGAGGTATTTCAGAAGAGACTGGATGTGGCACTTAGTGCCACAGTCTAGTAACTGTGGAGGCAGTGGATCAAGGGTTGGACGTGATGATCTCAGAGGTCCTTTCCAACCCATCTGATTCAATGATTCTATGATCCCGATCTGAGCTGGAAACCAGTCAGGGGATACAGGTTGGTACAGAATTGTATACCTATCTGTTACACCACAGCTCTTTAATGTTCAAAGCTGGAATAAGAATTAAGTAAATGCATTATTACCGACACCCAAAGGAAAACCAAACTGCCTGCTCTTCTGCTCATTGCATTCATCCAGCACCTTGGAGGCTGGCTGGACTGATAAAACACTTAATAAACAAACACTGACAGCTGACAGTGAACATCCACTAGACAGCCTTGTTGTCTCAAACCAACACGTACAAGCTTATCATGACCTCACAAAGTGGACCTTGACGCAGAGTGTTTCACCTGCAAAAGCCTGATGAAACAGAAAGTGGTGCTGCACCTTCAGACTCACGGAGACTTCAGACTCTAGCACCTAGTTAATCAAGAGACTTGCATAAGAATTTCGGCAGTAATTAAAATGAAGCAGTACAAACTGTACATACCATGGTACAATGAACTATCAGCATGCATCTACAAGCAAGGGTAGCTGATTTACTTCAAAAGCAGATCAATGTGAGCGCTCCAGATTCTTCTTGTGTTCCATTTCTCAGAGAATAAATAAGAAAAATAGCTGATACAGATTAACAGATGATCAAGGAAAGTAATAAGTATCACAGTTGTACACGATTTCATAAAATAAAGTAAACCAGCTCGAGATTAAACAAATACCATACAATACCCTGCCAAAGGTCAAATCCACAATCAAAATGTTTAAGAGTTCATTTTTAAACCCACATTCAAAGAGGATTAGTGGAATATAATTAAGAGAAAACCCTCTAGACTTTCACACAAGGTCACCACTTGGTGAGGGTGGTTATTTTTGCTGACTACATTGTATGGTTGTAAGTTGATGACATTTTAGTTACTTGATATTTGGCAATTTCTTATTGCAAAAGATCCCCCCCTCATGACATCACACATTCCTTGGATGAGACTATACTAGGGTAATATTTTGTCTAGAGTTTCTCTCTAACAAAAACAAAAAAACAAACCACAAAAAACTACACAACAGAAAAGCCCAAATGTGAGAACAGATCATAGAAACTATAGAGAATTACCTTGAATTTTTCAAATTTTCTCTCCATTTTGAGCACAGAGTTAAATAAGCATGTAAACACTCTGTATACATCACAAACTAGTCATCTTCAACATCATTTGCTACCAGTTGGTTCTAAGGACTGAGCAAAGAATGACCTTCTCTGCCCTCAGGTAACATATTTCACACCATATTTAATAGCTCATGGAATCCCAGAATAATATAGCTTGAAAAGGACCTACAGGAGTCACAATTACCTTTTCTAAAGCCAGTGAAAACAAGCAGCTCCAAAAGGAAAAGCTTTGCAACAAATAAACACCAGAACTCTATGAAGACCTCCTCAGCATCATACAAGAGACTTAAGACTTTTCCACTTACAATACCACACCATAAATTAAATCTAAGCAGTTACTTTACTGCGTATACTATAAATTGTTTCACTTCAAATCGCTCCATTATACCATTATTTTGTCCTTTTCAAAAAAAAAAAAAATTATTCTTTGAATGCTGCAATTCTTCGAAGTGCAAAAAGTATAAAACAGTGTCATGATTTTTTAATGCTGACTTTATTTTAAGTTAAAACAAGTTTTAAGGTTTCCACTCCTGGAGCTCTATCTCTGCTCTCTCTCTACAAACTCTTCACTACAAAGAGTGACTGGGAGTAGGGAGGGGAAAACAAACAAACAAAATGCCCAAACCAAAAGCCGTTGAGTCCATCATTCCAGGGGATAAAAACAAGCACATCAAGAGATGGACAAAAGCAGGCCACACCTGTCACATGCACACACAGGCATTAAGCACAAACAAAAATTCTTCTTATTCAATCTGAAGCCTACCTTTGACCTCCCTCTTGAAAGGTAACACTGGTCTCCCTTGCTATTCAGCATCTCTAAATAGATGCCTCAACTGCAACCTGTATTGTACAATCCTTTCCTTGCACACTTCCAGGAACACCACTCTGGCTCTCAAAAGGGTTGCTTTTTATATGCACATTGAACTTCCCTTCTCTCCCACTTCTATTGAACAGGGTCCCATAAAACATTTTTGCTACTGTCAGGCTAGGAAAGGGTGCCACTTTTGATTGAAACTTGGCATCTGAGACCTCTGAGATCATCCAGTCCAAATTCTGACCAAATACCACCTTGTCAACTAGACCATGGCACTCAGTGCCACGTCCAGTCATTTCTTGAACACCACCAGGGATGGTGACTCCATCACCCCCCCGCACAGTCCACTCCAATCTTTAACCACCCTTTCCGTGAAGAAATTCCTCCAAATGTCCAAGCCACAGCTTGAGGTTATCTATAATATAACACACATCCAATGTGTTTTGACAAGCTAAAGCGCTAAGATGAAAACCGAGCCTGTACCAGTCTAATATCAAGTATCAGAATGAGCTGCCACTGTGGCCACCCCTAAAATCCTCCCTTCCGACATGTACAAGTAATAGTATTTTTTGCCCTTTATAGATGGAAAGTCAGCCTCTTCCTACGTAAGCTTCAGGTCATCTGCTGTTGTATCTACCACTTTATCTGTAAACCAGAAGTGATGACGCTTACTCTTGCCAATTTTAATAAATTAAACTAGAAGCTCTGCACGGGAGCCAGGTGTTAGCTATTTTAAGTTTACACAGAAAATTTCAGGGGGAAAATTTTAAAAGTCATTACAGTATCTTAGCGTCTCTCATATAAGACCTTACATTAGGATATTCCATAACCATGCCGTACTGTTTTTTTCACCCCCTAACAAGCCATGCTTATATTATGCTATAGAAGAGATATCATAAAACAGCCTGGGTTGGACAGGACCCTAAAGATCACCTAGTTCCAAGCCCCCTGTCACGGGCAGGGACACCTTCCGCTAGATCTGGTGGCTCAAAGCCCCGTCCCACCAGACCTTGAACACGTCCACTTGCCGAACCCCCAGTTGTTCAGGTCAACACAAACAAACCTTGCTCCCGACGTGACTTCACGCTTACTAAACAACCTGTAAAACCTTAAGGAGGAGCTCCAGAGGCCACAGCTACCTTTTTTTAAAAGCCAGTGAAAACAGCAGGGCAATGGGTTCTTACTGACGCCAAGACGGAGTCCTCCCTCCCGTGTTGCGGTGGACAGGGACTCCCTCAGCCCCAGCGCTCCATCACCAGGGACGCGACGCCTCGGCCGACGGGCGCCCCCCCCGCCCCAGCACCCGAACACCTGCCCCACCGTCCTACCCGGGATGGCGAGGTTGGAGAGCGGGAGGGCGCGCAGCGCTGCGGGCAGGGAGCCCATCCAGTCGGCGTTGCTGTCGGCCATGGCCCCCACGGCCCCGCCGCGCCGGCGGCCGCGCCCCCTCATCGCGGTCCCCGCTCCCTCATGGCCGGCCGGGGCTGCGCGGCCCGGCCGCCACCGGCGCGGCGCGCGCGCGGCCCGCCCTTATGTAACACGGTGGTGACGTCACGGCGGGGTGCCGGCACGCCATTGGCTGCCCCCCGCGTGCTCCTCCCCCGGCGCCCGTGAGGGGCGGGACGGGCTTGGAATGACGTGCCCTCGGAATCCCGGGATGGGGCGAGTGGGCAGGGCTTCGATGCCGTTCTCTCGGAATCCCGGGATGGGGCAGGGCGAGAGGGACCGCGGTGGGGCATCTGCCGTGACCTCCCTGCTTAAGCAGAGTCATTTCGGAGCACGTGGCGCAGGATTGTGTCCAGACGGCTCCTGAGTATCTCCAGTGAGGGAGACACCACAAGCTCTCTGGACAATTTGTTCCGGTGTTTGGTCGCTGCACAATAAAGAAGTTCTTCCTCATGTTCAGGTGGAACTTCCTGTGCATCACTTTCTGCCCATGTTCCCCTCTCCCATTTCTCAGCACCGCTGAGCAGAGCCCGGCTCCAGCCTCTCGGCACCCTCCCTTCAGACACTTACGTGCATTGATGAGGTCCACTTCCAGGCTTCTCCAAGCTAAACAGGCCTAGCTCCCTCAGCCTTTCCTCATAAGAGAGATACACCAGTCCCTAAAATTAATTCATTCCCACTACTGTAGTACCATAGAGTCTGCTCCCCATGCAGAGGGTCAGCATCTTGGTTTTACAATGCCAAATTGTCCGTAAGTGGATCAGCTGGAGCGATTTACACACTGCGCGTGGCGAGAGCCAACACGGCAGCAGAAGTTTTAAGGAGCAAGAGAGGGCAGGCTCAGTCCCTGCTCTTCCAGCAATTCCCTTTCACTGACAGTCTCACACTGCACCTTTCACTGCATTTAAGTGGCGGCTAAAGCATTCTCCAAAACAGTTTCTGGATTTGCTGTGACACACAAGATGGATCGGCTAAAATACGCTTTTTCTCCCTTGCATTATTTTGTGCCTTTGAAGGATAATGCTTTGTGAACAAGTTCTCTTAAAAACTCCTTACAAATATGTACCAACAGTTTGCACATTATTCCCTGAATGATTTCATTGATATCTAGTAAAACTGCTGTTTGAACTATATATTTAAAGTATATATACAATTAATGTATCTGTAAATACACAGGTTAACTATGAGTTTTCACCTAATACAACCAGAATCCATCTCCTTCCATGAGTCCGCATTTTCCTTCTCAAAGACATTTTGCTTTTAGAGCTTTGATACTGAAGAATCTTAAAACTAGTGCAATTTCTATTCAAAAAGCACTCCCAGCCTAGGACCCTCACACTCAAGGAAGAGCGTAGAGGGTAGGTTTGGCATGCATTCCGCTGTCCTGCAGCCCTGTTCCCCCTTCCCATTAACACTACCTGGTACACTTGGCCTAATGTAGGAGATAGCAAGCCATGCTATTCAAAGCCATATGTATGAGATCAGAAACATTTTCTCTTGTAAACAAATTTATATCTTCAACTGACAGACTGACTGCTTTGTGGGAGCTCCAATCCATATCCCTGCAAGTTTATCTCCTTAAATCACTATTTCACTGTAGATTACCTCACTCTCTCGTGCTCCCACCATTGCAGCTTGTGACTGCCCAGCAAATGAGAGCATGCGAACTCCTTGAATATAGCTGATGACCACAGCTGTGTCATGGTGTAGCTTTCCAGGGTGAGAAAGCTTTGCAGTGCAGGGTTCCACCAAGGCTGATATGTTCCTGCAGACACCTTTGTGACTTCGGGGCCCTTTGCCATCAATTTTTAATAGTGCCAAAGGATGTGACAGCACTGGGGTACTTCAGTGCTACCACAGCACAGCAATTTTCTCCCTTGTTCATAGCTGGTTTCAGCATCCTCAGGCTATCATGTGCAGCGTGAGTACACCCTGGCTTTTATGTTTAAGATGCTGTCTAGATCTTCATGCTGCAAAGGACATTTAGACACTACCAGCTCAAAATCAGAATGATGAGGGAAGGAGAAGATGCATTCATTCAGCACAGCTGTGAGCATCACATGGGATGCACAGATACTGGCCCCACAGTAACCACTAGCAAAACTTTTTTATGGTCCAAAAAATCCTTCATATGCTTTTCTAGGAAAGAGGAGCATTAAATTACCTGTTCCCTCTACCAAAACCTCAACCTCTTTCCATCTCCATAAAACTCTGCAATTTTCTTTTGTAATCAGTACCAAACCCTGCAATTATGATCATTAATTTCAATGGCCAGAGGGAACAAATGTGCATTAATAATACAATTTTATTTTCCACAGACTAAACCCACAAATTATGTAGGGTCTTGTCACTTGAGACCATTCAAATGCTCCACTTCGAGCATGTGTTTAAGTGGCTGCAGAAATGAATGCCTAAGCAGGCAGGAAAAACATCATATTACTGACATTTTTTAATTCTAGATCAAAGTCAGTAGGGTGTTGTATTTTTCCATGTTGCTTGTGCATTTACGTGTGAATCGCAGTCAGTAGTGAGGATGGCCTGACTAAAACTTTACTATCAATTTTTCCTCACAGATTATACAGCCATATTTATATAGCCATATTTATGCCTTATGTGGATTTACTGAGAGCTCAGCTATTCCCTTTTGCCTGGGTGCAGAGCACAAGCCAGTGTCGGAGGCAGCTTGGACAATTTAGCAGCTGAAATCCCGTTCCCACAGTCCTAACCCTCCTGTTTTCAAATGCATAATAAAAAGATTAGCTGTGCAGATCAGGCTGATGCTATTTAAGCACCAAGAGGCATATGGTTCTCATTGTTAGCCAATTTCAAACACACAAATGTGATTTATTTAAATTTTAACACGTGGTTCTTGGGCTGTCATATACAGACTATAAATCCAGATCAGTGAACTTTTTAAAAAGCTTTAAAGCAACTAAAAAGAAGTTGATAGTATCAAGTGCTACAGGGAGCTTTGTCTCCTTCTCCTTACCCCACTGAGTACCCTGGTAACACGTCTCATTCTTAAACAGGATGTTTTGACATTGTTAAAAAGCGTTCTGTTAATGTTTTCAAAGTCTTCCATTTCAGCCCAAAATCTACTGTGCCATGTAAATTCCAAATCCTTATGTGCAATTCATCAGCAGGCAATAGATCAGATAAGTTATTGAAACAGCTTCTGTGTCATCTGCATATTTTAAAGGTCACTTTGCTACTGATGAGAAGAAAACTGCAGGATTCACTCTCACAGAGAGAAGCTAATTGCTCAACATTCCATGTAAGTATACTCAGACTCTTCCAAGCTGTTCATTACCATTTTTACCCTGACTGTAATGGAATTATTTAACATTTAAAACCATCAGACACACTCAAACACAAAGCTCTGCAGACATCACTGCATTTAAAATGTCGCTTCTTCAAGTGCAATAGACCAAATAGTGGTGTTCATTTTCCATTTTACATCCAGTCAGAAAACCACTATTGCAGCAATTTTTGCATTTCCCAAGTCCATTGCAAACACTTAGATGTCTGTCATACAATATAGCCTTTGTAGTATTGACGTCCCCCCCTCCCCCTTTTTCTGTCCATCACTCATAGCCTCGGTGCCAGTTTATATCAATATATTACCTGCTTCTCTCTCTCTCGCCTTTGTTTGCTGGTTTCTGTAAGCCAAGCCCTGGCATCTGTGAGTCCTATGTTTGACAACAGCGAGCTATTCAATACTTCATTTACACCACATGAGGGTGTTCCAAGCTGTGTACGATGCCAGAGTCAATCTGGAAATCCTCTCGTTTGGAAAGGAACCAAGGGGCAAACAGATACATTATTTTTCCTCTGATTAAAACTCTTATGAGGGCAACCTGATACAGGAAACTGAAAGAAAAGAGATGAAACATCACAGGCTAGAAAACAGCTGGAAGAGTAGTTTTAAAGACTTAATCGGATGTTCCCTGAAATCAAATAATCTTTACTGTGGACTTCCCTGAGCTTTGTCTTGTCTTTAAGGAATAATTCTAAATATAATATGAATTGATATTATTTCCATTAAAATCTCCTTAGGGGGGATTAAGTAATCGTTATTCCCCTGCAGAGCTTTTCAGGAGCTTTTCATTGGCTTATTGCTCAAAGTTAATTGCCAAGTCAGGAAGAATTACTTACAAACATAAACAATAAATAATAAAAAAATTATTCTCTTTTGTATACTGCTTATTCTGGAGTGTGCACAGATCTTTCTAATGTTTGACAGCTCTGTTAAGTGACGGCAAAGGCTACACAAGGTAACTAATACCCTGTGCGGGTTAACAGGCATAATTTCTGTGCACAGCTTCGTAAAACAAACACATACATTAAAACAAACCCAGAGGTTTTCAGCAGCTTTCAACACAGCTGCAACGAGGGAAACACCTCCCTAAAAGAGAAAACTCTGTGGGTCCTTATTAAGAAGGGCTGTTTTCCCAGGAAATCCCAGATGGCAAAGCCTATTATCAGCAATTGCTATCTAATGAGTCTGGCTCTGGGATGGCCAGGCAGCCTGCTGTCTCCCACAGCCCTGTGTTCTCCCACAGCCTGCTCCCCGGCACTGCCACACCTCCACCTGCATTCCAACGACTGGAACACACCGTGCAAACCATAGGGATGCTTCTTAAATAAACAAGCCAAGCTTAATAATTTCCGGGACCAAAAGGTGACTTGTAAGAGAAGCCATTGCAGTGCAGTTTAAAGAGGACGCGTGATTCAGAGTGAGGCAAAAGGTAATGCAGGAGGCTTTGTGTCCTGACAGGATAGCTGTCAGGTGTGCCAGGAGCAGGGCGTCCTCTTAGTCAGTCGCAGCTGCGCCCTCCACTGTCGGAGAGGTGGAAACCAGGCAGAGGCTGAGGACGCCAGCCTGCCCCACGCACCCTGTGGGCTTGGTGCTGGCAGCCTTTCCCAGCTCTGTCAGCAGGGCCCAGAACCACCTGGATGCAACCAGCAGGAATACAAGCCAGGGAGCACTGGGAAAAGTCTCTCACTCCACTGAAGTCCCCAGGCCCTGCCAGTGACATCACAAGGCACAATAGTAACTGAAAACAAATCCTGAAAACAATTCCTTGCTTTTGTCCTTTTTTTTCTTTACTCTACAACATTTACCATCTCCTCAGAAGCAGATGGAAACCACTTTTGCATAAAACCACCTTGCTGCTCAGCTTTCCTGTGTGTTGCTTTTACAGCTGTGTAATGCACGTATTAAAGACCACATACAGCACACCCAGCTAATTTCACAGTATTACATTACATGTTATACATGACCTCAGATTCTGACTCAGGTCTGCTGTACAGATTTCACTGTGTCATGGATTTGCATTTAGCAACGTGACACTGTGGTTTTGGCTGGGGTACAGTTCATTCTCTTCATAGTAGCTGGTGTGAGGCTGTGTTTTGGATTTATGACAGAAACGGTGTTGATAACACAGAGAGATGTTTTGGTGCTTACACATTGTCAAGTCCTTTTCTGCCTCTCAACCCCCCACACCAAGGAGTGGGCTAGGGGGGCACAAGAAGCTGGGAGGGGACAGTGGGGACAGCTGACCCCAACTGATGACAGGGATATCCTACACCATATGGTGTCATGTTTGGCATGTAAAATAGGAAAGAAGAAGGAAGAGGGGAACATTAAAAGCGACACTGTTTTGCGTTCCCAATTCACCATTATACACAATGGAGCCTGGCTTTCCTGGAGATGACTGCCCATGTGAAGTTGTGAATGAATTCCATGTTTTGATTTGCTTGTGTGCAGCTTTTGCCTTCCCTATTAAACTGTCTTTACCTCAGCCCACGAGTTTTCTCACTTTTACTGTCCCAGTTCTCTCCCCATCCCACTAGTTGAAGTGAATTGCCAGCTGGGGTTAAACCACAACAAACATTCAAGACTCTCTTATAAAATCTTTTCTGTACCCACACAGCAAGCTTTGAAAATTTTACTCTTACAGAAAAGCTTTTATCTAACACTCCCATAGCCATCTTCAAGCATCTGGTAACTTGATCTGGGCCGAATTATTGCAGGGTTGACAGAACCCAAGTCCAAGCTGAATGATTCCAGCCTATATACAGTGGCAGCTGCTGCCAAAAATAATCACAGAATCAGAGAGGGGTTTGGGTTGGAAGGGATCCCTAAGTTATCATATAGTTTCAACCCCCCTTCTATGGACAGGGACACCTTCCACTGGATGAGGTTGCTGAAAGCCCCATCCAGCCTGGCCTTCAACACTTCCAGGGATGAGGCAGCTGAGGTTGCTGCAGTCAAGTGCTTAATTTTTTTTTTTTTTTTTTTTTTTGGGGGGGGGGGGGGGGGGGTGTTTTTTTTTTTTTTTTTTTTTTTTTTTTTTTTTTTTTGGGGGGGGGGAGAGTTGGTTTTGTTTGTTTCTTTTGTTGTGTTTTTCCTCTTTAAAACAGGGGTTAATTTTGAACCTACCGCAATTCTTGAGTAAACTGTATGTTACATGCTTATCCTGGTGCGGAGCAGGTGGAGTCAAACAGAGATATAAACTATCCTACTCGCAGTTTAGCTGCAGAAAACCAGGAGGATGGGGGCGGCCGGGGGTGCGGATTTCCTCTTCCAGGTCTCCCGATTCCCTCTCTGAAGCCGCATGGGAGTGCAGGGACCCTCCTTGTCCTCCGGGCAGGCAGGGGCCATCTCCGCATCTCGCGCTGATCCTGGCGGGACGGTGCGGGACGGAATTGTTCGGGATGGGATTGTTGGGGACGGGACGGGGCGGTGGCGAGCGGGCCCCGCTCCCCGGCGCTGCCGCTCCGCCTGGTGCTCAGCAGTGGGATCGCGGCTGCGCTGCCTCGGGTGCGTCCCCAGCGCGGGGGGCTCCCTGGAAAACCTCCCGGAGAGGCTGGAAGCGCTCCTCAGCCAGCCGGAGTCCCTCGGGGATCGTCACCCTGCTCATCCCCATTTGCAGAGGCGGCAGCAGCCGCGGCAGCAGGAGCATCCTTCGAGGATGGGCGGGTCGGGGAGGGGCGCCCGCCGCAAGCAGCGGAGGCACACCCTGAGCACTGTTAAGGGTCGGAGGAAATATCCTCGGCCAGAAGCAGCCGTGGGGATTAAAATATCCGAGATAATAAAATAACCTCCTTCGACTGCTATGCTACGGGCAGTCATCCTCATCTAAGGGCAAGGAGGAAAGTCTTGGCTCTCCACACCCCTTCGAATATTGTTACCCTTCTGGGTTTTGTTTGTTTGTTTGTGGAGGTTTTTTGTTTGTTTGTTCACTGGTTTTTCCCACTTTCTTTTTTTAAGGACAAAAAGCTGCCTTCTTTTTCAGTGATGGGTAGTATGACAAAAGTTAAGCTACTTTGCTTCTACTACCCCACACAGACAAGAAACACTCAAATTAACATTGAGCCTTTCATGCATGCAAGGTCAGTGTAGTTTTGTAGGACAGAAAATGTTTTCAGTTCAGCACAGATGACAGATTTAGGACTGGTTGTACTGTAAGATAAATAATACAACAAAATACTCTAAAAAGGGCTGTTAGATCATTCCTTCCAGTAAGTAATTCATTCAATCTAAATTCCCGGGAAATACAGTGCTCTGAACCCTGACACTCATCGACCAGCATTTAGCAGTAAATAAAACAAATCCCATTCCTAAATCAGAATATCAATTTTGAGCCTGACATGATTGAATTTTAGCTGATTTGCATTAATTACAGAAATACCATTCTGGTAACAATAAATTTTCAAACAAGCTTAGAGGGCCTTTTTCTTGGCTGCCTGAAGGTAATGTAGGACCACGCTGCTTTAGATTTGGTACCTTGCATTAGTGATCACACAGCTGCTGACCTGGCTGAGAACTGTACAGCGGGAGCTGAGCCAATCCCACCCTCTGCACCATCACTTATTCATTAGTGTCAATGCAAGGGAATATGTAGCCCAGGTAGGACAGGGGTAAGACTGGATCACCTCTTTCACAGGCTTAAGCCACCTGGGAAACTTCCCCTGAGGTCTTGAAAGATAGCAAATGACAGAAACTCATTAAGACCAAAGGAGAAGAAAATTATTATATTCCTTTTTTTTTTTTCATTTTCCTTAGTGGGTATCAAAAATATAATTCCACAAAAACAGACTCAAATGTAAGCACTGTTTCAGAGGCAAAGCACTTCTAAAAGGATTAGAATTTTCTATTATCTTTAAGCTCATTGTTCACTTCAGTCCTCAAGTCTCTGGCCCACAGGTGGCTTGTGCATGAGCCCAAAGTTGACTGTTTTCTGTGATTTCACCAATGACAACTGAATCTTCTTCACAAACACTTGCACCAGGCCTGCACCATGACCTTTCATCTCACCAACCCCTCCACATGATCCTGTGCTGCAACCCCGTGCTGAGAGATGCAGATATTTTCTTTCTGTATAAAATGCTGATTGTTTTTTGTTTGGTTTCAAGGTGATAGAAAATACTAAGTTGGTCATGTTAGTCCACAATTGAAAAAAATAATTGCAAGAACGACTCGTGTAGGTATCAAAAAACTTGTGTGAAGCCACTGTAACCGTGGTGTCCATACAGCAGAGCTGTCATCTCTATGCACTCAGTAAAAGAGAAGCTTCAGCACTCTTCAGTCAGGCTGGAGGAGTGATGTGTTAATCTGCTCCCATTAAAAAGACAGGAAATTCCCAGTCGATCACCTAATTCAAATGAAGCACGTGTAATCTCACGGTGACACAACGGTGTTAACGTAATGCATACATGGAGATAGACAGGATGAAGTGTCCTAAGGAATGCTCAGCTTCCAACAGTAATGTCATGTAGGCACTCTGAATTTTAATATGGGTCATTAACACCCAGCTCCTGCAGTCACTGTTCTAAACACAGAGCTTTTTAATTGTGTCAGTCTTCTGCAAGCTACACGAGGGGTGTAGGCAATGTTACAGGTTTTCTAGTTCGTGGCAGGATGGGGCAGTCCCATCAGACTCCACCATGGAGGTGTACTTTATTGGAGGTGGTGGTGGCTTGAAAGATGGAGGTCTGTTCATACTGAAATAGAGGAGAAAAAAGGCACTATCACACAAAAACTGCATAAAAGACAGTTGTAAAATGATCACAGGAGGGGGTAGATTGACACTAAGAGCACCTGACATTAGCTCTTACATACTGCAACTTCCCTGATTCTGTTTTATAACCCCAGCACACCTCCTGGTACTCATTTGGCTTTCTCAGCTCACACCTCGTAATTTTACTTTATTCATGTTTTAAAAGAACAGAACATGGTTCTGATGAACCATTCAAAACCAGAGGTCTTTTGCTCACACTAATCTCTGAGGGTGTATTTAATGACTTGTAACTCCTTTTTTGGTCAGTTTATAGGTCAAGATAAATAAAGGTCCCATCCCAAATCACTGAAAAAAAATCAACCCTGTTTTCCCCTTCTATATACAGGATTTGTAGCTGTGTTTTGAAAGGGTTTTCTAGAATGATAAATGATTCATTTTCACCATGAATTTTCCAATATTTTAGTAATGTTAGTCAGATTGAAAATAATTGTCTCCTAGATACTACTTTTACCAGTAGATCTCTGAGTGTGTTAGTAGGGAATTAAACTTTGGTAATAATTACAAACTCAATGCTTCTTTGACTGGGATTAAGTTTCAGGTATCCTACTTTCACATATATTATTCACAACTCAAATAGAGCTGCCCTAGAAGTACAATTTCATTAAAACATGTCCTCAAGTCACCATGGAAAATGAGAGAGCAAAAGCAGCTGGCAGGGAGGCTAATAGAAGTGGAGGGCTCTGGGGACAAAAATTGACTGTTATTCTTCCCTTACACCCTGAAGCTGCACTGCAGCTCTTTTCTTAAAGTTTATTTTAAAGATAACCCACAAAACAGATGAAAGGACTGAAAACACTCCACTTTTCATATTGCTATATGAAAAAAAATAGCATTACCAATCCGTGTACTTAAAGGCCTCGTGTCCTGTGAGTCGTCTCAAACGAAAAGGTGTGAATCCAAATAGCTGGGTTAGAGTTTGTGCTGCCCACTGTGCCCCGCCTCCCACCCCTGTGGCTCCCCTCACTTGTACTTACATCTCTTTCTGGTACTGACACCATTTCCTGATGCCCACAGCTATTAGGGAACTGCAGAGGAGGAGCAGGACGGCTACCACTGCTGGCCAGGGGAAGCGACTGGTGTTTGTGTTCCTCTCATCTGTAAGGGACATACCAATCAGAGCTCATCCCAACGTCCTCAGAGAGGAGGGAAATCTGGGCTTGCTGCCTGGGCACATTTGCTCCCCCCAGCACAGTACTGGTGTCAGTACAGCCCCAAATCACCACCATACCGTCACGTTCCCAGGCTGAGGATCCCAAACTCTGGCTGTTGCAGCTCTGATTTATGGACTTAACCCACTTTTGTTCTGACTCGGTTTGGGAGCTGGTTTCAGCCACCCATCAGTTCACATGATGAGATAATTCAGGCACAGTCCAGCAAGCATTTCATCCAAAACCCATTGGCTTTCTCTGTTCCCCTGTGAGCTTCTCTGTGAAGAGGAAGCAATTCACAGCTGGGCACAGCTACCCACCACAGCTGTCCTTCCCAGGGGGTTATTTTTCACACCATTGACACCAAATCCTGCCAAAATGTCTGTCCAAGGGCTCAGCTGCATTTTGGGGAGAGCTGTTGTTGGTGATGCAGCTTCCCTGCCCCCTTCCACCCTCTCCCCACCACAGTGCTTGGATCACCCCCTACCCCCTTCTGCATAGCCACCCTTGGGGGTGCTGGTGGCTGACAGAGGTGCCCTCAGGGTCCTGGGTATGGAGAAGGGGAGAAGGAGCACAGTACTCCTCCAGCTGCTGTGGAGGGTGCAGCAGTGGCCTGGGTGCCAGAGGGGGCTGGAGCACAAGGTCCCTGGGTGATACAGCTTGGTGTCACCTCCCTCTGCATCACACACCTGTGCAAGGCTGGCTGTACTAGTACGTCACCCAGCCTGGGTCTTGCCCACTGTGGCAGCCAGTGCCATGGCCTGGCACCAAGTCCACCACACCACAGGAGCCATAAGATTTCCCTGGGGCACAAGAGTGTGACTGGAAGAAAACATGCACTGGAGCTTTGCTTGCACATGGAGGCTGGAATGCCAAAAGCCTGTGACAGGCTGCAGTGTGAAGACACAGCAGCTGTGACTCCTTTTTCATTTCTTTTCCCTTTTTTGAAATCCCCTGGTCAAATGAACATGATGCTCCAGGTTTTGTGCTTCTGCAATGGCATGCTGAAAGAAGAGGATTTGTAGGATAATGTCTCACCAGTACTGTTGAGTAGGCTGCTGGCAGTAAAGAAATCTTTCCCTTTGGTAACTGAAATTGTCTGGTCTGTGATTCTGTAGAACAGATTACCTAAAAAGGTATGGGCACAGAACATTTTTAGTAACTTTTTTTTTAAATGAAGATTATCTTTTGAACCCACTGTTATTCACCTTGCTGAAAACTGGAAATCAAATTCCAGAATCAGGGTGTCAAAATTCTCTTGGCAAGATGCCTACAATTTTGGCCTAAAGCCTGGTGTTAGAAAAAAATGTGCTTCTATCAAATTAAAGAATATTAGAAGGAAAGGAAGGGAGGAAGGAATGAAGGAATGAGAGAAGGAGGGAAGGGAGGGAGGGAGGGAGGAAGGAAGGAGCGAGGGAGGGAGAAAGGAGGGAGGGAGGGAGAAAGGAAGCAAGGAAGGAATCCATTAGAAAACACCTTTTAAAATGTTACAGCAAGCCAGCACTGAGCTGTGCAGTGGTCTGGGAGAATGATAAGCTCTTTACCTCTTTGATGGTAATGAAAAACCTAAAGATATTAAGTGGCTTAGCAGCAGCACAAAGAGTCTGCCTTTGTCACAGCTCAGCAAAACCTCAGTCTCCTCTGTCAAGTGCTGTGTCTGAACCGCAAAATAATCTATCATCTGTTTGTAGGCAGTACTTTGCCCTTCCTAATAGAGCTAAGCTACCTGTGTCTGAATTGGTGCTGCCTAAGGATACGTTTCTGTTTTTTCTAGCCACCTCCATGTTCACAGCTTCCGAAATAATACCTAAAATACACAACTAGACAATGGCACAGCATTTCCAGAGCTGCCGCGGCACTTACCGTGTGTCAGGGTTGTATTCTCAGAGGAGTGAGTGGCATTACTGAGGCTCTGTGGAGATTCCGTGGTGGAATCATTCAAATCTGTACAAAAAGAAATAATGTCCTTCAATTATCTTCCAAGCCTGTACCTGTGACTGCTTCATTAGGCTCAGTTGTGTCTATTTTGTACTCTTGGCCTTTCTCTGATGCAAACAGCAAATGAAATAACAGGAACCTGAAAGTCTCTGGTAATTGCTGATTTACAAATCCAAGAAAAAAAACAAAACCTCTGTTTAAATGATATGAATGAAACACCAGACAGAACCAGGAAAATCTTTTTCTTATTAGATGCTGGCTTTGATTGAAATTGAACACTGAAGTGTGTGTGTGTATATAGATCTATCTAGGTATGTATGTGTGTATGCTGTAAAAAGCCCAATGAAAACCTGTCCAAATTTAGGGCGCTCTAAAAAGTCACTGAGACTTTTGGATATTATTTCAGTTCTTTTCTTCTTGCTCATTAGGTGTTAAATTTTATGTGAACAAGGATGACAGATCTGGCATTTCATAAAGTTATATATATATTTAAAAAAAAAAAGCACATACACTTAGAGATTGCCTAGCACTGTGCTCTTTACAGCACACTGATGAGCACTACTTATTCTTATTTACATAATGGCTTGTGTTAGAGCCTCAGACGACTGAAATGATAATGGCAATCGCTGTTGTAGGAGCCCAGTGGCCCCAAGAGAGCACAGGGACACATGTTGGTATGCCTCAGCAGGCTCACTGGTGCCCCTGTGCTCTGAAATTGCCCCTCAATTACAGCTGCTGGACTGAGGAGCCTTCAAGGCCATTATCTCTTAGCCGGTGGTCAGGCAGGCACAGGAGTAGGGAAGCAATGGCAGGGATGTGGGGATGAGTGGTGCGATGCACGGTATATCCTGCAAATATTAGTGTAATTCAGCATGCTTTTAGCAAAGATTGCCACCAGCAAGCTGTGCAAGAGAGGAATTGTGAAGCACTAGAAGTTGTCACAAGGTTGTGGTCTAAATGTGTGGTTGTGGGTTGTACGTGGGTAAATAAGCGCTGGCGTGTTACCAAAAATATATTCAGAAAACGGGAAGCGGCTGCTACGTTTGCACTTCAGCCAAAAGATGACTCCCATGCAAACACAAAAGCACACTGACAATTCCTGCCTGCTCCAAAAGCACAAAGACAAACCAAGATTTAAAAAAAAAAAGTCACTTTGGGCTTCTTGCTGCTAAGCAGAGATTTTCTAAAGGGAAAGACTTCTGAAAAAATGTACACCTTAGGGTGTTTTTTTTATTGATTTATTGATCTTTAATGAGGCTGCCTTTCAATGTTCTATTAGCCAGCCTTTATTGCTCCACATTATCTCATTATTTCATTGCTACTCTGCGATTTTATTTAGCTTCTGTGGTAATTTATTTCATCTATAAACTACCTTCAGTACTTACTACATTTGCCTAGCAACTCTCTCAATTGTAATGTTATTAAAATAAATGTGTCTAATGAAACCAGGGTACTCAAATGTTTTTTCATTCTTCTTTTGCCACTGCAGATCCTTGACAGCTTGGAAACTCGGGCTTTTGTCTTCTAACTCAGCGGAATTCAACAGGGAAACTGTTTCTCTGAAGTACTGAAAAGCTGGTACAAGTGACTCCACCTGACTTTTGGCCTCTGCTCAGACACAACTTTACCATGTTTAGTAATGTCGTGGTTTTGCAGCTGAAAATAATGACCACAGAGCTAATGCTCTCAGGAAAGGAACCTCAAACTGAGGACCTGGGGACTTGCTGCTCCACTTTTTGCAAGATTCTTCGGGCTACTGTAGATTTGTGACCCAGCGCTTGCTCAGGCAGTGCCACATTTTCACTTTGCAGCCCCCACAGTTGACTTGGTAAGTCCCCTGTCACAGCCCTATGAAGCAAAGGGGGACACATCATCTACTCACGTGCAGTTGTCAAACTCTCACTTAATGCCGTGGCGCTGGTACAGCACTTTGTCTCTGCTCTGGAAGTCAGTGCTCCTGCTGAAAAACACACAGGCTTGTAAAAATTGCTGTAGGGAACCGTACTGCTTGCTTTTTTCATTTTCCCTGTCTTTCTTCCCTGATCCTGACTAATAAGGTCAAACAGTTGTAGCCCACTACTTGAGATGCTGGCTGCCCTCACACAAGCACTACACAACTCCGTTTGAAAGCCTATCACAGGCTAGAACCTTGACTGAGATAGGTGAATAAATTTTGACAAGACATTAGGAGCATTTTTGTATTTCAGCTTAGTTTCAGGTGGAGCTCCACAGCCTCAAGTGCACTGGCTTGTTTTGTCCTGAAGCCGGCGCAGCAATAAACAAAAATACATAAATCAGAATCTAGACAGGATGTCACCAACTCCAGGGAAACAAAACTGTTTTCCCAACTAGCAAAGGGAAGTTTTGAAGAAGTTAGGGTACAGGAGTCAAACCTGCAATGTCTGATGCCAAAAGGCAATTTCACATTTTTGTTTAAGCTTTTTTTTTTTTCAAGTGATAAGATTTCTAGAGCTCAGCTAGCTATTTATCTGATATTTAAACACAGATGGTGGCTAACAAGTAGACCTCTATTTTCCCCAAAGAACTATTTCACATTTACTAAAAAGAGTTCATCTTTCTTAAAAACTGTCTCATTTTTGGAAAAAAATATAATTAAGCCATCTAAACAAACCTGAGAAGGTGAAATGCAGCTGTAACCCATCACTCAAAGCCTGAGCATCTCTGGGCTCAGACACAGAGCTATCGTGGAAGCTAAGCAAAGACCAGGCTGCAGTTTTAACAGCCTTGGTTTTGTTTTCCCTGCTCCTGCTCTTGCCTCTCTATGTCCACTCTTCCCTTGAATCCATTCCCAGATTTCTCTTAGATTTTCATTAAAAACTTGCAAAATAACAGGAACTGAACCAAACCAGTAGACTAAAACAGCAGGATTGGACTTGGCATCCTGACTCAGCTGCAGCCCAGAGGATTTGCTCAAGTAGCTGATGGTGGCACCAGTGTGAGAACCAGCAGTGAGCCAGAGAGGAGCAGCACTAATCCCAGGCTG